AAGGACCCGAGTTGAGAGATCCACACCCCTCTCCCCCTTCCTTATGCATACTATTTACTGTGGCTGCAGCTCTCTCTTAATCACATCTCTCAGCAGGAACTTTCTTTGGGTCTGTTATTGTTATGAATAAGGTTTCCCATTTGGCCAGACTTCTTGAACAACTAGAAGTTGATAGCCACAAAATAATGGCTTCATGTTGATTTTTTCACTCTCAAGAACATCACTCCATCACGATTCTTCAATCATAGGCTGACTAGCACGACTTCCACTTGGAACATGACTTCTCAATATGTAGATATGCTAGAAATATAATCAGAAGGATTTATACAGGCCTCCTTACAGGTACACCTTAGGCACCAGCTTTATCCTGTATCTAACATGATTGTAGTATAAACATAAAATATTGATTAATACTTCTAATCATTATTAATGTAAATAATCTCTCGGATCAAGCTTCAAATGAGCTCTTAACTTGTAGATTCATTAGAAACAACATTTCCATTCCTAATGAATCATAGTTTATGAGAATGAGAGAGAAAAAGAAAGAAAGAGAGAGAGAGAGAGAGAGAGAGAGAGAGAGAGAGAGAGAGAGAGAGAGAGAGAGAGAGAGAGAGAGAGAGAGAGAGAGAGAGAGAGACAGAAAGAGGGGGGGTCTCTTAAGTGCAGGTTAAGTGCAGGGTTGCATGTCTGTTCATTTATAGTGAAATATCAGTTCAACGAGCAACTAGACCTCATTCCTTAATCTCAGGTCAATGTTGATGGCTGTACTCTGTTCCTTGCTGTACATATAAAAAATAAGAAATACTAACTGCTATGAGAGTCATTAGTCCTTAACTTGCAGCAGAAAACAGGGAATGCTTATTGCAGGTTATATTTGCAAGATGAAGTGAACTTAGTTTCAGTAAACATAGTATTTAGTGAAGGTGTGATCTCTGTCAACTTCGCTGTGCTCGATATCCCCTTTAGTCTACTATATATTTTACTCTCGTACACATATACTGATCCTCATAATGCAGCCAACGACCGTTGTTTAATTTGCAGGTACCTACTTACTGCTAGATGAACAGAGAAATGGTTGAAAGGAAACCCTGCCCAATGGGTTCTGCTAGGGCTGGAGATTGAACCCGGGTCTCTCGATTGTGTGCTTTCACTTATTTTTAATCCCCTATATGTGCCTGTAGGATCGAGCTTTAGCTCGTCGACCCCGCCGTCCTGGGTGCTGGATATATAATGCAATTGCTCCTTAGTTTTTTCTTTGCCATATCTACTTTTGAAGTTATGAATGGAGTTCGCTTGTATAACCTTCTCAATACGTTTATTGTATTTTTCCACCTACTCTTGGTCTAAAGGAAATTTTGTTAATACAATTACTCATTTGCTTCTCGTTTCCATCTTTCTTGTTTTTTTATATATATTTAATATCTCTTCCACTTTTTGACTTTCAGAAATTTGTTGATTAATTTAATGGTTCTTTTTCCTCCTATTCCTGGTCATATTCTCTTCAGGAACTGCCTCTATTATATATATATATATATATATATATATATATATATATATATATATATATATATATATATATATATATATATATATATATATATAATATGGGTGTGTGTGTAAATCACGAAAATTATCACGTGATGAAAACTGTGACAGTGTCAGACAACGAAGGAAGAATTGAAACAGGAATTTCCTTATGTACTTTCGTAGTTAATAATACATCTTCAAAAGAATGATAGATATATAAACTAGTATATTTTGGTAGTAGTCATTTATGTAAACATATGTTGTTGAATATGACCCAAAAGGTAAGCTTAAGGATTTTTATGTTTTCTTCACTTTCCAGGAAAGTTGATTTTTCAACTTTTCTAATTTTATTTTCACAATTTTTGGGGGGTCTAACGTTTAAGGATGCGTTTCCCAAGGTCACTTCTTACATCCATCCTTTGAGAATGTAAGGAGCTTACGTTTGTCAATTGACAATTTACTACAAAAACAAAAAACGGCCAATCTACTCATGAAAAACTCCCCAGACACCAAACAGATCGCCTTAAAGGACACAAACGTCATCTATGCCTTCACATGCCCGCTTTGGGACTGTAAGCCCCAAAGAACTCAGTATATAGGCAAGACAACTACGTCTCTTTCTAGGCAATTAACAATGCACAAACAACAGGGGCTCCATCAAGGAACATATAATATCTTCTCACAACCAGACCATCACCAGAGAAATCTTAACAAGCAACACAGAAATCAGCGATAAATACAGCGATAGCCGGAGACTCGACATCAGCGAGGCACTACACATCAGACAGTCAACACCAGCAATCAACAGCCAATTAATGCACAACTATATTCTACCCACTTCAAGAACCCGAACCAACATAGAAACAGCAAGAGGAGGTATGGCCAATAGGCCTTCTGCAGTTACCTCCATTCTTATGTTTTCATTCCCATTGATTCGTGTTCAGACATAGCTTTGTCACCTCGCCCAAAACTTTTGTGCCATATCACCTCACCCAAAACGAGTATTAATATGATGTATGTTAGGTGTAAACGAGTCTTTGAAAATGAAATAAGCATAAACGAAACGCGTTCAGGCGTCAGACCAAAAATAAAAGAATGAATTTTGGACAGTTAATTTTTCAATTACCCTCGACTGTGAAGAAAAACGTTATAAATATTGAGAAGATTCGTGTTAGTATTATTAATCTTACATTTTCGGTCATATATATATATATATATATATTAAAGTTTGTGAGGGTACCACCTCTGGTGCCAATGTGGGGACCCATAGCCTCGGAGAAGAAAATAAAAAGTATTCAGTATAAGTATATATAAAAGTAAATAGAGTAAATAAATAAAAGTATAAATAAAAGTAATATATATAAAAGTATATATATATATATATATATATATATATATATATATATATATATATATATATATATATTATATATATATATATATATATATATATATATATATATATATATATATATATATATATATATATATATATATATATATATATATATATATATATATATATATATATATGTTAATAATTCTAACACGAATCTTCTCAATATTTCTTACGTTTTTCTTCACTGTCGGGGGTAATTGAAAAATTTACTCTCCAAAGTTCATTTTCTCATCTTTTTTATTTATGGTATAACGCCTAGAAGCGTTTCGCAAGGACTTCTCACATTTTCAGAGGCGGGTTTACACATATCATTTCATGCTTATATTCGTTTTGGGTGAGGTGATATGACACAAATGTTTTTGGGTGAGATGACACAAATCAATGGGAATTAGTTGCAATTGAGAACATAATGATGAAAGTAACTACAGAATGCATATTGACCCATATTTTCTCTTGTTGCTTCTATGTTGTTTCGGGGTCTTGAAGTGAGTAGAATATAGTTATTTTTTAATTGGCTGTTGATTGCTGGTGCTGACGTTTTAATGTTTAACATCAAACATACACAATGTTGACGTAATGTATTCCTCTTGTTTGCAACTCTTTTACTTTCACTTTCTTCCTGATCTCTTCCTCATTAATTTTCATCTCTAGTGTTCACTCATGGCTTCTAATTTGACTCTTATTCTGAACACTGTCTCTTTGAAAAATTTAATCGAAAATATATATTTTGTGCATTTACATTGAACGTATTTTGGTCACCTCTCGTCTAGTATGATTATATCGTGTTCTCCAAGCCATTAGCTATATTCCCCTCAACTTCAAAACATCCTTAAACGCCTGTCTCACTTTATATGCTGTCCTAGATAGAGATTGTAGGCCAGAGTTACATATCCATAGATATGAATTAGGTAGGATATAGTCAGTGCTCTGATGGCTTTGTTGTCAAACTTTCTGAAAGTCTTTCCAGGTGTCAAATTAGGAGTTAATCTCTCAATATGAATCTGGAAGTTGCTTTCATTGAATGTGGAATTGGGAGAAAGAGAGTGGCAGAGTTGAGGGTAAGGGAGTTAGGGTGGAACAGCTGGAGATAGGAGAGAGAAGGTGGCAGAGTTTGTGGGATAGTGGGATTTGGGTTCCAAAATTGGGAGTAGGGGAGGTTTGGGGGGTCGCAGAGTTGGTGGGTAATGAAGTTGGGCGGTAGATTTGTGGGTTGGAAAGTTTTAGGGTGACAGAGGTCTGGAGTAGTGGATTTAGGGTGGCAGATTTGCGGGTAAAGGTGTTTTGTGATGGCATAATTGGTAATAAGAGCTTGGTATTTGAGAAAAAAGCAGATAGACCAGTGGTTCAGAAGTGTCTTTACTTCTGGTGCTGTCTGCGTTTGTTGTCTGAGGTTGTATTCAGGTTAATATATTAAATTTGACACATTAAACATAATACATGATAAACGTTATGCTCTCTGATGAACCTCAGGCATTCACTCCCACTGCCCCCCTCACAGGCTACCTTTACTTACCAAGTCCTCGCATTGCCCTCCAGGCTCCCTCCATTCACCACCCTCCACGCTCCCTTCACTCACAATGTCCTCACAATGACTTCAAGAGTTCCTCAACCAACCATGTTCTAATACAATCGACCTGAGAATGGTCCAGGACGGACAGAAACGTCGTCTTCTCTTCACTTTCTAGTGTGTGGTTTGGTCCACACGATCTAACACTGCCCTCCTGGAAACTTCCACCCACCACACCCAGTTATTTCCCACCAGGTTCCTTCCGGACGAAACAGAGGGGACATGATCACAACCTTCAAGATGCAACGGGGACTTGACAAGGTAGACAAGGACAGCCTTTTAAAATAGAAAGAAATTAGCATGAGACGACCAGTGAAAGCTGCAAACGCAAGTGGGTCGATGAAATGCAAGGAAATTCTCGTACCCTGTACGGGTGGTCAACAACTGGAATGCAATGAAAGAAGAAGGTTTTGAAGCCACCTCCATATACAACTTTAAGGTCTGGTTCGACAAAGGAATCCAGCGTCAGGATAGTTAAATAATAATGCAACAGGTAGACCCCTCACAATGCCCTCCGTGCTACCTCCACCCACCTCTCCCTCACACTATCCTCCACCCATCACGCCCTCACACTGTCCTCCACCCACCACGCCCTCACACTGTCCTCCACCCACCACGCCCCACACTGTCCTCCATCCACCACGCCCCCAGACTATCCTCCACCCACCACGCCCCCCACTATCCACCACCCATCACGCCCACACACTGTCCTCCACCCACCACGCCCTCCAAGCATCGTGCCGTCACACTGTGTTCCAGACTCCCTCCTCTTATTTCTCCCTCACATTGCTTTCCAGGACTACCCTCCACAAACTACACTCACACACTGCCTTCACTGTCCTCCAGGCTCCCCGACTCACCATGCTACCCTCCACCCAACTAACCACCACACCACACTACTCTCCAGGATTCCTCCAACTACTTCCTCATACTTTAGTGCAGATTCCTTCCCTGCAGTCACATTACCCCTCAACCTCCTCCATCCATCCCACCCTCACACTGCCCCCCACGACCCCACACTACCCTCCACGACCCCACCTACCCACCACGACCTCACAATGTCCTTCAGACTCTCCCACGCCCCTCACGCTGCCTTCAAAGCCGTCGCAATTCTCTGCAGCCCCTCCCCCACCCACCTCTACCCCTCTCCCTATCTTTACCTACCTCTACCCTCGTCATACCTTTAACTACCTCTACCCTCTCCCTGGACCCACCTTAAAATACCTCTGCTTCTCACTACCCTCCACTCCACGCCGCGATCTGCACCAGCGAATCGTGAAAACCAACATGTTTGCCACTAATCAATGCTCGCACGAGTAATAACGAAATTAGCTTTAACAAACTCCTACACGCTTTAAAGCAGCAATGACCGATAGTTGGATTTCCATGTAATATGCCAATAATTGTGTTTGTAACTAACAACAGGAGAATAATACGAATTTGGGAACGTAAGAACAGAAAAGCATTAAATATTTACAGTAAGAAAAGCGCTGGCAGCATTGAGGTCCCTCGCCGCGTGTCAGGAGGAAGGGCCAAGTGCCTGACTCTCAAGCAGTGCCACAATTGGTTACGGAGGCAACAGTGAACCTTGCTACTCATTTTGGCACACCTAGTTTACACTACAAGTTCACTGTCACTTCCGTCATTGAGCCATTTAATTTTTATATCGTCACGTTGGGCATGTTAAATCCATAAATGATATTTAAATTGTATTGACACTGGGATGATACAAGAAACGAGAAAATATACATGTCTGGTCCTTGAAGGCTGCCTTGAGACTAGTTGTAGTAGTGTCCTCGTCCGAGGCCTGTCACTTCCCAACACCACATGTTGTATTTGTTGTTTTAGATTCAGCGACTCGGAACCAAAAGTTCCAACTAGCACGGGCTATGGTGAGCCCGTAGTGGACTCACCTGGCACAGGATCGGGGCTCTGACAGCAAAATCACACATACCCAGGAAGGTCCGGACAGTAGGTATTACACCAGTATCATTCATTAAATGTATTTAGATTGTATGTCTTAATTTATTCTTACTTACCGTGAGCAACAATACGGCGCTTGCTTCCTCAATCTTGTTTCAGACACCACGTGCGTCTCACTGTTGTTTTGATTTCATCATGACAGGGCGACTCCCCGTTTAGTGTACTGGGGAGCGCAGGTCTCTCACCAGTACTTTCCTCCTACCACCACCTTCCCACTGTGTACGAACTACGAAATGATAAGCAGCTTGTACGCTAAATTGGCTATATGATGTGTTTTAGCACTGTCTTGTTGCTTCTACCGGCGAGTGCTGTCTTATTAAAATGGTCCATGAAATATATTATTGTTATGAGAGATCAGTGAACTTTTGATATTTATGGCTCGTAATTGGCCAACTCGTCATTTTAGGTAACTGTAAAATCACGACAATGCTCAGCGAGCCGAATAGGGAAAAATTAATAATTGAAAATTGGTCTGTAATATATCGATAACTTGAAAACCTAGAGCATCATCAAAAAGCAAGAACTGATGGGCTAGACATACCAACGGGCATGTGAAAAACAAAGTATTATACTGTTATATTGTACAAAACATTTTAAACTTATACTTTCTTACGCTAAACGTGGTTCTTAAAAATGTTTAAGTAGGATTACTGGGGGTATTTGATCTGTCTACCGCCCCCCAGTACAGTTGTAGAAAATGAATGTGTTATTAACATGTTTGGACCATGACCCACCCTGGACAGGCAGCAGGATGTAGCCACACTGGTTGGGTCTCGACCTGAGAGCTTTAGTCAAGACTTGCACGACGAACACGGACGGAGCGGCAACGGCGTACGTGTGTCCTCAACCGAGGTTAGCGGGCGACTGCCTGGAATCGGCGCTCCGCCTACTACCAGTTCCCACACTCACTCTGGGACCGCCCATTTATGTTGCCTTATTTTGCTATTGCATTGTCCACTGAGCTGTTCAACGGGCCTCATAAGAACAGATCGCTTTCTCAATATAGGAATACAGATGTAATGTCGATCAAGGAAAGGAGATTACCACAGGTTGGCAGAGAACTTGTCGGTAATTAGGTGACTTCAGCAAGCAAGGCTTCGCCAAACGTGTGATTTACGATCTCTGGCCCGCCTCCTGCGCCACCTCCCTGCTCACTTCTGATGCGCCTTCTGCTGCAGCTCCTCCTTCCCTGCTGATGTATTTTCCCCACCTGTGGGCTTCAACCCCTCCCTTACCCTTCCCCTGTGATGTCCCGCATTTCCTTCTCTGGGCAGTGTTTTTCCTGTTGTTAGTTAATTAGCTATAAATTCCTTGCCATTATACCTACCGCCGGCGGGGTAAGTCTGCCCAACTGCAGCTCGAGGCGCGCCACATGACAGTAATGGAGGTCCTGGTCGTCACACCTGTGATATACCCGACCTCGAGGCAAGTTTCGCGGGGCTTTAGCGGCTGCTCATAATGGTCAAAGCACTGTGACCTTCGACCCTGGACTGTTGGCATCGCGTTCCCATGTTACCTGGTGGAGGGAAATTTTTCTTAGCTCTCCGATCTGTGGCTTAATTCTGCAGCTTCAGTGTCTCGTTGTAATGAATGTTTTAATACATAATTATCCGGATAAATCGACGCACTGAACAAACTGTCGTGAAAGAAGAATATTATGTTCAAATTTGAACGTTTTATATCCCAATCAAGCAGTACCTCGCTGAGTTCTAGGGAACATATTTCTGCAATGAACCGATCGTATTTACAGAGTTCCCAATGTAACTATTTCTTGTCCCCTCACTTTACTGTTAATTATCGTCATCTGCGCCTACAGTATGATTTATACTTCACCTGACACATCTACACACACACACACATATGTGTGTATATATATATATATATATATATATATATATATATATATATATATATATATATATATATATATATATATATATATATATATAAAATGTGTGTGTGGGTGTGTAAGTGTGTGAACTCACCTAGTTGTGTTTCTGGGGGGCGGAACTCTGGCTCTTTGGTCCCGTCTCTCATCTGTCAATCAACTGGTGTACAGATTCCTGAGCCTACTGGGCTCTATCATATCTACATTTAAAACTATGTATGGAGTCAGCCTCCATCACATCACTGCCTAATGCATTCCACCTGTTAATTTCTCTGATACTGAAAACGTTCTTTTTAACGTCCCTGTAGCTCATTTGGGTACTCAGTCTCCACTTGTGTCCCCATGTTCGCGTACCACTCGTGTTAAACAGTTTATCCTAATCTTCCCTGTCAATCCCTCTGAGAAATTTATAGGTAGTGATCATGTCTCCCCTTCCCCATCTGTCTTCCAGTATCATGAGGTGCATTTCAAACAACCTTAAAGATTGATTGATGAAGATTAAGTAACCTCTAGTGGTGGCATGGGCATAGGTAGCCCGTAAGAGGTAGATTTTTGTTTAGTGAATGTGTGATCTTTCCTTGTAACTCATGCCTCTTAGTTCTGGGACTAGCCTAGTGCCATACCTCGGAACTTTTTCTAGGTTCGTCTTGTGCTTGACAAGGTACGGGCTCCATGCTGGGGCCGCATACTCCGGGAGCAGTATACACACACACACACACATGCTGTGTGTGTGTGTATGTGTGTGTGTGTGTGTGTGTGTGTGTGTGTGTGTGTGTGTGTGTGTGTGTGTGTGTGTGTGTGTGTGTGTGTGTGTGTGTATTAAATCACGAAGAAATTAACACCTGATGCACAATATGACAATGTTAAACCATGAAGGAAAAATTAAGACAGAAATTTCCTTAACTACTTTAATATTTAATAATACGGCTTCAAAAGGGTGGATTTACAGATTGATTGATTGAGGAAGATTAAGTCACCCCAAGTGGTGGGACGGGCATAAATAGCCCATAAGAGGTAGATTTTTTTGGAGTGAATGTGATTTTTGGTCATAAAGGATATACTGCCTGCTGTGCTCGCATTTAAATCGTCAGACGTTACTATGTTGCTGCCATAGCGAGGGAGGATACTGCCTGACAGTATTTATAATGGTGTTCAGCTGCTGGACACTTTTCATTTCCAGATGAATGGCAGTGTTGATGGCTTCAGGGTGGTTACTGCAAGATTCAGGGATTCTTAAAGCTCTTCTAAGGTCATCGGTTGCTTTACATTCCAGGACATAGTGAGGTAGTGGTTTTTCTGTGATTATTTGGCAGAAGATGTATTTCCACTCTCTGGGTTCACTAATTTCCCAGTTGCATCTGTAATCTAAACGTAGTCTACATAACCAAACTGCTATTTCCATGTGGATTCCTTTCGGGATATTTAACCAGCCTTACTTAGTGGGCTGAAGATATCATATTGCAGAGGGAGGATTTACAGTTGTTGTTGTTATTATAGATTCAGCTACTCGGAACATGTTTCAAGTAGCACGGGCTATGGTGAGCCCGTAGTGGCATTACCTGGCACAGGAGCGGTGCCCCAGGATTTGCAGTTCAGTGAGTTGGATATAGAAGCCGGAAAGAGGTAAGGTTAGGTCAAGTACAATGTCTTTAATGAGATAAGGAGATATTATCTCACTAATACCTTATTCCTATCCCCTTATCTCATTAAAGTCATTGTATTTCACCTCTCCTCTTTCCTGCCTATATATCCAACCCACTGAAAAGTAAATCTATTTTTCTGTAGATGTATTATTAAATACGAAAGTACTTAAGAATCATTCCTTCATGGTCTGACTCTGTCATATATTATATGTATATATATATTTTTATAGATAGAGCTAAGACATAGAACTAAAAGCCACTAATACGCACAGCGTCGTTTCTGGCAAGTGTAAAGTGTAAATCTCCTAATATATGTTAAGGTTCTATTTTTTTAAAATTAGTCAAGAAAGAGTTAACAGGAAAATACGTAAGGTTGTGTATATAAGTCCAATTGTGGTATTTCCAAAACCATTCTATGGCTGATTTTGATTATAATTTGGCGAAAAATTGCGATTTCGACGATACTTCGATTCTACCCTGGCATCTTTTCTTGGCGCCATGATTTGATAATTATTTACTTATTTCCCCGATGGCTGAGATGTGTGGCCGCCATAACCCGAGGCACAATGCTTGCTTTTATCATTTGATCCGTTTTTTATTACTTTTTTATTACAATGACTTAATCATTGCCCATTTTTTATATCTATTAAAAAAAATATTTTTTTTGCAGAAAACAAAATACGGTTTTGCTGAAAAATGACCAGCTAGCTGTGTGATGCATCATATAAAGCTGGAATATTTATTTATTTATTTATTTATTTATTTATTTATTTATTTAATTATTTATTTATACGCATAATTATTCT